AAACACTCAGTTTTCAAGAAAAGCTGAAAAGTAACATTGAAATGAATGAACCTTTTCTTAAATTCAAGATTTAGCATAGCTTAATGTATAATGTACATTTTAGGTGCAATAGATGTCACCATTTAATTTAAATTGACCTTTTTGCAGTTCATGTGCTGTGTTATGAAGAAATGGCACTGAATACAAATATTCCATTATTATTAATTATTACGAGGTCATCGAAACTGCATGTATGACAATCTAGTAAGAATGAGAAAAAAGTCCTTTAAATAGTATGTAATACTGCTCAAAATGTCACATCAATTACCCTTAAACAATGAAATACCATCTTGGCTGGACGATTAAAGCTCCTGAAATCTTCATTCTTGAGATAATCAATATACTCTAATCAATTAGCGTTTTTCAAATGTGTCATTCACTAGACCTCAAGCAGTTACAATGGTAACACCGACTTTAAACTGTCAGCGTTAAATGGCACTGCTTGAGAAACTGAGATATGCATTGGTTGGGCTTGCTAACTCAATATGCATATCAAATTCTGAATGTAGCACATTCAAACAAACTCGCTTTTGCCAAGCAAACAGACCTCATATGAGCGATGCTTGCAATAACGCTGATATCTAACACCCCGAACACGCCATCAACACTGGTGATGCTGTCCTATTGTTTGAGATAGGGGTGTTACTTTATTTTTGTCTATGGGAACCAAATGCCAAGTGGATGAGGAAAGCAATGGATTTCAACACTCTTTTCATAAAGTAAATAATGCATATTTGTTTGCTAGTCTTTATAGATTAGATGGAGTTGGTTCTCAGTTTGTAAAAATGAACAGTCACACTTTATTTTAAGGTTCAATTCTCGCTATTAACAAACCATTAACTACAACTTTTGCCTCAATAAACTCCTTATTTGCTGCTTATTAATAGTTAGTAAGGTAGTTGTTAAGTTTAGGTATTGGGTAGGATTAGGGATGTACAATATGGTCATGTAGAATAAATGCTTTACAAGTACTAATAAACAGCCAATATGTTACTAATAGGCATGCTAATAAGCAACTAGTTAATAGTGAGAATTGGTCCTATACTAATATTTTTGTTGTGTACTTTTAAATGGAAATCTAAGGGACAACTATTCATTTCTGTGGTAATTGTCAATATGTATTTGACACACACTATTCTTAAAGAGTGAATATTCTTCATTTGAAACACAACTTGCCTGGTAAAAACAGGTATAGAATATTATTTATGTTTTAAAAAATCATCATGGGCACTTCAAATTGAAAATTCGATACGGCCTTATTACTCATAAGGAAATCTGCAAATGCCATATTCATCATTTAGTGCCTTTATGGGTTTTCCTGAGCAACAATATTGATCTGGGACACATTCAGAAAGAAGACATATTACCACCTGCAAACAAGCTCTTAAGATTGCATGATTTGTTGCAGACGACAAAACCAACCAAATCAAGAGAGGAAGTAGGATGGACCCAAGAGGATCTGTTGTTCGTGACTTTATTATAACGAATGTCTGAGCATCTGAACACTACCACAAACGTAAACAGGATGAAAAGCGCAGCTAATATTTGCGGCCAAAAGTAGAAAATGGCCATTAGCTAGTTTATTTTGTGTCTCAACAGTGTGAAAAAATCTGCTGTGCACAGTGGATAGATGTCCGTCAGATTAAGTTCTGCTCTCATGGAGTGTGTAATCATCAAAGGCCACACACACGCGCGTGCACACACACACACTCATGCTAGCAGATGTCTGTCTTTAAGCTCGTGGATGTCCGCCGCCTCCCCTTTCGCATGAAATATGACTTTTACAAAACCCAAACACATTTGAATGTTTCGAATCTTATTTCATCTGCAGAACACAAAAGGTGTTTTGAAGAATGTTTTAAGCATTTTTGTCGATACAATGAAAGAGTGTTGTAAAATTAACTAAAACTACAACTAAAACTAAAGCTATTACAGGTCAGATTTGTTAATTGAAATAAAGTAAATAAAATTAAAAATACAATTAAATTAATTGAAAGAAATGGTAACTAACCTTGGTAACTAACGAAAGTAAAAACCTAATAAATTAAAGCTTAATATAAACATTTTAAATAAAAATGACACAAGCACATAACAAAATGACTAAAACAAACAGAAAAAAATATAAATAAAATATAAATAAAAATGTTAACAAATACTATAATAAATAATAGTAAAATAACACTAATGAAAGTCAACGGAATCCAAAACAGCATTGGTTCTCATTAACTTTCAAAAAACCTTCAAAATATCTTTTGTGTTTTTGCAGAAGAAAGAAAGACAAACAGGTTTGGAATGACATGAGAGTGTGTAAATGATGGCAGAATTGTCATTTTTTGGGTGAACTATCCTTTTTCTTACCACATTTGAACAAGCGCTTACGTTTTCACCACTCGCAAAATGACAATGCACAAACTGAAAAAATCTGAAAAACTAAAAATTGGGAGTAGTTTGAACAAAGCCTGAGAGAAAAAAAAAAATGGTGAGAAATGAAGGTTCCAAGCCAATTTCTGTCTTATCTTATCTGTCTTTCTCCCCTCATCGTGGTTACAATTCCTATCTCACCCGCACACGCACTCTAAACACACATCACACAGCGTTGCTGGAGCGATTCGCTATGATTGACAGGCTGGGGGCGGAGCCTGCTCTAAATGGCAGGTGCCATGAGCTGGTAATAATGCCACACAGCTGGGCTATCTGCGTGTGTGCGAAAAAAGAAAGAAAGAAAGAGAGAGACCGAGAAAGAGGAAGAGAGATTTCTCTCTAGGAGAGGGGGGCTGTTGTTCTTAATAATGTGGTTCCCGTCATACCTCATGGGGGAGGTTTGAACACCGTCTTACCAGGCTTAGGTGAGGGGGTAGACTAATAGAAGGATGGAGGGATAGAGGAGGAGGAGAGAGGATTTAAAGCCAGGGAGGCCCGCTGATCTGCGCCTGGAGAGGTCGGCAAAGGTCAGACTACTGTCATGCAAATAATGGGATTTGTTCTGGAGTTACTCACGAGCACACATGCGCATAACGTTACTCGCCATAAGGAAAAACAATCTAAACAGATGCTCACAAACACTGATTCCCTAAAACCAAGGCAGAACGAGGTTTACTTTGCTCACACTTTGATTTAATTTCATCGCTTCTAACACTACTCAACCAGCTTTCGATGTTACGTGATGTGACATACCGAGCAATAAAGCCATATATCCCTTCATTAGCCTACGTCTGGTGGGACCACAGTTGGCTCAGAGTCTGTTCAGAAGCACCAGCAGCTTCCGTTTGGCCGCTCAGTCCACATTGTGTCTCATCTTTTACGACACGCAGCTTCCTCTAGTGCAAATTAAACTCGCTTAAATAGAATTTGAGGGGAAGCAAAAGATTCCCTGTGGGTTTGCTTGCTCCAAGTCTAATCAACAGGGGGAAAAAAAAACATCACGCGAGCACTGAGCGTATAGTTGTATTAAAGGGATATTCCACCCAATAATGAAAATACGGTCATCTTTACTCACCCTAATGTCATTCCAAACCGGCATGACTTTTTTTTTATCTGGAAAACAAAAGAAGATATTCTGAAGAATGTTCCAGCTTCGGTTCCCATTGTATGGACAAAAAAATACAATGGAAGTTAATGGGAACCAAAATTATTTGGTTACCAACATTCTTCAAAATATCTTTTTTGTGTTCAGCAGAAGACAGAAAGTCATAGAGGTTTGGAATGGCATAAATGAAGAAAAAATTGTCATTTTTTGGGAGGACTATGCCTTTAGTTCCTGCCTGTAAATCACAAAACAGACCATATGATCTCATCCTCGAGTTTTATACGTTGACGTCAAGTACATTCGACTCGCAACACCGCTCATAATGATCCCATACATCTGGCAAATCTGAAAAAAAGTAGGTAATTTACGCATGAAACCATAAAAAAGCATTAAAAAGATGAAGAGATTGGAGGTTTCTGAATTTACAGGTTGCCCGTCACGGCAGATGGCCTAACAGCTAATCAACGACTTCTGAGAGCGACACGAGCGCGGATGCCTTCAAGGATTGTGCCCTCCTACATACCTAATTAAAGTCTGTTCAGTCAACACAGATTTTCACAGATCCTGTCTCCTGAACCATATAATGTGTTGTTTCCACTTTTAGAAATGACTTCATGTTCCTCAGCCTTGTTAGAAGAGCTTTATGATAAAAGATTTATCCTATATGTAGTCTGCTATATATAGGCAAATGGAAGTGTTTGTCTGACTTAAATAAATCTATTTTTTTTATACAGCCCGTTCAATTTATTAACAGCGACAACTCACCCCCGGCAATGTCTTCTGCTCGTGTAGTGCATTCTGGGCCTTCAAGGCTGACTCCTTCGCACAGTACGTCAAGAACGCACATCCTGAAGAAAGAGCAAGAATACAACGTGCGATGTAAAAATAAAAATGTACCAGTCCTAGACAGACCATGAATAACAAGCAGTGTTTTGCGGACATAAAAGGATATGACAACTGTGACTAAGAAATGGAAAAACGTTGAACAATTTGTTTTCGCACCACAGATGCATTTTCTATGAATAGATTCGTTTATCTCGGGAAGCTAGACTTTTGGAACCCAACTCAAAGTGAAATAGGAGGAAATGAATGCTATTACAAACTAACAGTTTCTACACATTAAAACACAGTATACATCCCACTGTCAAAGAAGAAGACATCACTAGATGTACTAACACAGACGTTTCTCTTAAGATATGAAAAGGAAGCTCATCTAGCACCATTAGTCTCCCATCTCCCCTTGAGACTGCCCGTTCAATAGAGCCGCGTCAATCTCGTTTAATTACCTTTGTGCATTCCCGTGTACTTGTCCTTGATCACCGTAAGCTCATAGATCTTCCCAAACTGCTCAAAGATGGGCTTCAGGTCCTTCTCCTCCAGATTCCGTGGGATCTGGCCAATGAAGAGCTTGATGGCGTCGGCCTCCTTCATTAGGACAGTTTCCTAAGGGGACGGAGCGACAGCTGCGCCCAGGGTTTCAGCACTGGAGAGCGGCTCAGCGGCGAGGGAAGAGTCGCGATGTTAAACACGAGTCCCGGTGGAAAGGTTTGAACCGTGACAGCTCTGAATTTAAAAAAAAACAGATAACGCTAAAACCAAGACACTTAAAATCAACGTTAACACTTTATACTAACTTTCATTAACAAGATTTATGTTTGTAAAAGGACATGTGGTGCTTGTAAGCAGCCAAAAAAAAAAAAAAACGTGTTAAACTAGTAATTAGTTTTATAGCACAGTAGGCCAAACATTAACTATCTGGAAGACCTTTTAAATAAAAAAAAACGAATGCTTTTGTTATGTATCTGTAAAATGTATATCGAAGAAAGTAACAAATAACGACAGTATTTAAGTTTTGTTAATGTAAAATATGATAACGATTATGTGCTTGAGCTGTTGCTATGGTTACCTCCTCAAACTCAAGTCATTTCTGTTCGTGAGCATTTTAAAACCAGCTAAAACCTACTAAATTTGTTCTTAAATGTAAAGCATTTTATTTTAAGGCCCTCAACCTCTTTTCTTTGACTTTCTGAACCCCCTTTGCTACTGAGAATCACAATGATCTGTTCCGCAATCTGAAGGCATACTTAATTAGATGTAAGAAAGATAGACCAATCGCAATTCAATATGCAAATAAATACAAGAAAGACCTCCAATCGCCATTCAGCTTGCCAGAATCTCAGTATCTTCTTCCAAGACGGTCGATTTTGAATGGCAAACAATTCTCACACAATGGAAGATCATATACATTTCTTTAAAAGTATAACGTTAACAGATAGCAGCCCTATATTAAAAATTATCTGCCAAACAAAGTTTGAATAGAGTCGTACGTTTAAGTTGGAGCTGAAGTAAATGCATAATATTATGGAGGATAATGAGGATTATAATAAAGTGCTGGCTTGACATTTCAAAATCATACAATGCTTTGCAGATTTGCAGTAGCTATATATATTCAAAAATGAAAATTTTTAGCTATTTGAATATACACTAAAGATCTGTTTGAATGAATGCATTACATTTAAATATTAATAATTTAAGATACAATAAAGTGTCAATGAAAACACAATGTAATACGAGTGATCAGTCAATCTCTAATTTTAAGAGATTAAAATGCTATAGTACAACAAATAAACTTGTGTTACGAGCTCTGGCAAGAGTGCATATTAGAAGTGAATGCAATAAAATGAAATGCATAAATATTGATGGATATCCCCATAGCTTCTTTGTTTAATCCACGCTGGAGGTTCAGGCGTATGTGGCTCTTTGTCACGACACCAACTGCACATACGCACATACATGATAGAGAACAAAAACATGCAACTATCCATGCAACTTCACGCCTTTAAATCAAAAGGGGCTAAAAGAAGTTCATTCGAATATTATGAGCTCTCTGGTGTTTGTGCAAAGACGAAATTCGCTCTCGTTTCCTTCCCTCTCTCTCTTTTGTTAATCCCAAGGGGATGTTTGTTTATTTGCTGTCTTTCTGCCTGGTTGTAGAACATGGTCTGATATTCTACGTGCACAGATAAAGAGAGCTGATGGAGAGCGGGTGGCTCGAACGCCAGCCAATGTACATTTAACTAAATCCGTGCATCTGTCACCCTTGAATCGTCTTGGTTTTTGTCTCTCTGTGCCCTCTCAGACATCTCCTGTTGACTAGAATACATGCATGAATCAATACAAGTATAAATGCAAATAAAATGTCAATTTCACTCACGTTTTAATGCAGAGGCTGTAAAGAAGGCGCACGGTAATGCTGTAGCCTATATTCACAGTGTTGACACTCCGTATAACCCGTAGCTTTTGACGTCGAAAGCCGGTGTCCCCCTCCTGTCCATCTCCCGTCCTCCCTCGGGGTGTGGAAACCGTGATGCTTACTCGGTTTAAGGGAGCGTCTATATTTTCCTCACAGAGCTTAGCCGCAAAACCATTGGGTGCTGTCACATAGAAACAGCTGTCCCTTTCATATATCACTGTAATACTATTGGAGGTAAAAAGAAAATCTAGTCATGTTTTTCTCCTAATAACGCCTTTATATCTCAATTTAGCATCTGCACAAAATATCATGCAAAATGTTTTGCAATTATTTTAGTTCTCATAATGCATAGCTCACATCTGACTCAAATGTGACTCAAAATCTTGTAATAGCAACTTTATATATAAAAAAGGATACAATTTGTTTTATAATTCTTACATAATTTTATTATTCTCACAACTACTGCAGATCATCATAGCTAAACTGAATAGAGTACAGTACTATAATTACGGTATGATTCGTGTTTTTTTGTTTTAAGAATTAGTTGTACAAGGGAAACAAGTTTGACAAAAATAAGATCAATACATTTTCTATATGTATGCAAAAAATTAAAGCGAACATAAAGGGAAAAAAGAAAAAGGAGGATGGAATAATCATATGCAGAATGATTAATAATTAGGCTATATGAATAATAATATCACACGTTCCTTCATGAAGAGCCATGATCCATAACAAACATAAAATATGCCAAGATTTATTTTACTGTTAAACACAAACAAAATAACACGTTTTACTTAAAGGAAACGTACTTTAGATAAATAGGGTTACTGTTCGCTACTGCTTTATTCGAGTGTTCGTTTTTTAGGTTTGCATGTAACATTTGGACGGTCCCTGATATCAAGGACGCTAATCCGCCTTTTGTTCTCGTCGAGCTCTGACCACGGTGCTGAAACTACATTGAGCCAAATCATGTTTTCTCGCAAATTAACGCCCACGTAAACTACGTGATGTCCTCGCTATGTGGTCGAGCAATTTCGCCATCTTAGTGCGCGATCTGACAGGGAATTCACTTTAATTCATTCTCTATGACTGACAAAATAAAATAAAATAAAAGTAACCTTTAGGAGATTATAGATCACATCACAAACCGTGCGCTCGATTTATATCCGCCGAGACATCAAGTTGATTTGTAACTGTTAAATGGTCAGTAACCTATTTTTGTTGTTGTTGTTGTCTGGCTTTTAGGGTAAACTAAATTAAAGACTAGTCTACTTGTGTTCATTTACTGGGATTGGCAACCATCTCGAGCCCCTAAATCCGCCAATGCTGTTTTTACCCTTGACCCCAAATTCATATTAAAACTTATCTTTCTGATAACCTCACTTACAACAACAAAAACTAACATGACCCAAAGCACGATTCATTCACGTACACAAGAGCACGCATTTAAAAATCACAGATGACTCAACTGGTTATACCAGACAGATGAATTAACGACGACATCTGCTGGTTATTTCAGTACTGCCTATTTGTAAGTATTGAGAGCTTGTCAGTGGTCAAAGTCAGTGTCAGTTATGCAGGAGGATCAATTCAATGTAAGCTCCCAGATGCTCAACATGCTTTTTGAACAAGGGCCAAGAAATCCAGATGATAAACAAACTACTTTCATCATTTGTGAGTAGCTTCTTTTATATTTTATACATGTATATTCATATAAAGCGACCCAAGGCCTTCACATCTTTGTGAGGTATGAAACGTGATATTGTATCAGCTGCATCCACCTCGCTTCAAGTGAACTGGCATAAAGGTCACACTACTGATATACCCTGTCCCTGACCTTTATGTTGTGCACTCTTTTGAGCAATAACCCAATTTGTCAGTTCTGGGTTAGACAATACGCTAGGCCTATACGGTCATACTCATCTATTAAACAAAAATAATTTACATTTTTCCTTTGTCTTATAACATGTAGGCACAATATTGTCTGCATATTCATTACAAGAACAACAGAAACCACAATAAATACCTCTAACAAGAGAGCAAGCGAACCCAGGAGACCTGTAATAATTGCCTATAGCAATAAAGTACCAGCTTATTAACATCAGTTTGTACCAGAAGAGGGAGGTAGAGCTCTAACTTTACACTGTGTATTGCATTTGTCCTGAAGGCCTCAAACAACTTGAGGAGAATAAAAGGTTTAACCATGATGTGCACATCATCCAGTTAACTGCCCGCCATTACAATATTTTTAAACATTACAACAAGTTTAAGACTACTAGTATATTCTGTCCGTTGCATAAGACAATATGCAATAGTTTGTGCATTTTACCACAGAAAATGAACCACTGACTTCGGAGTGCCTAGCTTTGCAATGAACTTACAGTCTGATATAATTTACATTTCTTGCAAATATAAATGTATAATTAACACATGCTGAGTGTGCTTTGTGTAACTGCTTACCTTGATTTGCAAGCGGATGGCATACAAGGGCATTGGATGTCCCCTCAAGCACTCTGTTGCTGGGCAGAGAAAGTCCTCACCAGAAGATCTGCATACATTGAGGATGGACAGAGGGAGAAAAATAACTGTTGATTGGGTTAAAACAACACAAAAGTGACAGAAGGGGGTAGATAAAGCATTAATTGATAAGGTTATGCTTTTAATATATATATATATATTTTTTTTTTTTTTGCACCCTAAGGTACAAAATCTTTGTACCTTATTTACACCAAAATGGTTCTTTAAAATACTTAATACTGAATACTGAAGAAAAATACATATTAGTATCTTTTAAAAGGGTACCACTCCTTGAGTTTTGTATAACAGTGTGTGTGTGTGTGTATATATATATATATATATATATATATACACACACACAGAGAAAACATTTTATAAAAAATTATATTAAATGCAAAGAACAACAAAAACATTGGTTACTTGAGCAAAGTGTTTATTTTAATATTTTGATACCGAGCTAATTTCTAGTGTATGAACTGTGTATGCCGAGGGCGGATAATTTGATGGATGGCGTCCCACGCAGCACATGCTTCTGTGGAAAGTGTTGCATGACGCGTTAGAAAACATTCCACTGTTATGAACCGTGCACGAGCTCTTTGCATTTGGGGGCGTGGCCCTCACTACTGTTTAAAAAAGGTAGGCGATGTTAAGTCAAATAAATGGACGAGAGAGCTGATGAACTTCAGAAGATCACTGGTAAACGTCATCTTCGGTGCTGGCTGTGAAGTTTTAGCAGCAAAATGAAATTATTTTACATTTAGATCTACTATAATTAAAAACCATGACTCTACACTACTTATATTATCTATTAATTAAAATGTAATAATGTGTTATAATGACACGGCGTTTAATCTTATAATTGCATATTACAAACAATAAAATAATAATAATAACAGTTTAATGGGTTAGATCTTATTTTCCTGTTCAGGAACTTGTTTTTTTTTTGCGACAAAATATTTTATACATTTGATTATTTATTTATCTATATATTTTTCCTTGCAAAAAATCGGAGTAGGTATCATAATCGGTCTTACTGAAACATTTAAGGACTCGACGATTGACAGTTGTTTTGACTTTCTAACATATTGGAGAGCTTCCCAGTTAACTCTCGTTATATTTCAACAATACGTTAGAAATTCAACCAACTTCGCATATCCAAATGAAAGAGGTGACTGGTTTTGGTTCTGAATGACGATGCAATGCTGAGCTCTGACATTTCAGGATTTGTGTAAATAACATTTTATTTAAGATGTCATTAAAACCATTAAGGAATATGCGATAACTTTATTTACCATTATCACGTCTATTTGCGTACACATTAAGTCTGCAAAAATGAACAATACCAGTGGATTCGTTTAATTTAAAGCTCAGTATTACTTTAATTTCCAAAAACGTGATTTAGGTGTTTGTTAATTACTCCTAGTCCCACCAAATCTCCAGACATGTATAGCTGGAAACTATTAATGACCTTAAGATCAGTTCAAGAATTTAGGTTATGTTTTACTGATAGCAGTTTCTACATGTAATTCAAAACCCGTCTCTTCATGCACATCTGCTTTTGTCCATGAGAGACAGAGAGGAGATCAACCGTATGACACCTCTAAAGCAGGTGTGTTACTGAAGGTTACATCTCAGGGGGCAAAAGAGAGTTTGAAAACCCCTGGTGTGAAACTATGAATAACTTAAAGATATAGTTCATCCATCATTTACTCACCCTTAAGTCATTCCAAACCTGTATGATCTTTTCTTATGTTGAACACAAAAGAAGATATTTTGAAACATGTGGGTAACCAAACAGTTGCTGATAGCCATTGACTTCCATAGCACAGAAGGAAAAAAAACATTAGGTAAGCCAATGACTAACAGCATTTGGTTACCCACATTCTTCAAAATATCTTCTTTAATGTTCAACAGAAGAAGAAAACTCATACAGGTTTGGAACAACATGAGAGAGTAAATGATGTGAAAATGTTCCCTTTAAAGTGGACTCGACATCAGATGTTTTCTTGCCTTGAGAACGTTCTTTTCTTAAGAAAATTAAACTTTCTCTGAAACGAACAGGAAAATGCATGGGCTAGATTTAATGAGGATGTGAACGTTTAATGCAGTTTCTGAACTGTTTAGCTATAATGGGCCTTTTCGCAATTTAATGCTTATTTCATGATTTTAAGCAGTTTAATATTATAAGCAATACATGTTTATGACTTAACTATAAAGGACAACTTAATTTATCAAGCAGCATTGATTTGGTTTTTAGCTAGTTTTTCTGTATTTCATGTTTTACAGTAAATTAGCCATCTAATTTAAGCCTTTGCTTCCTTGTCTCTTTAAGGAAAGAAAGTTGAAGCACAAAAGATCTATATACTGAGGGAAAACCCAGTTTCAAAATGTCCTGTAATGTTTTACTTTTGTGCTTTTTTTTTTTTTTTTTCAATCCTGCCTATTAGCCAGCAAACATCTAAATGCAACCGAATTGAAGGCAGAAGGATTTCTCTTTTTACTTTACACTTTTTAAATGTTGTGTTAATCAAGGGGGAAAAACCCCTTATGGAGTTGTTACCCTGTTCTGATTCAAGGAGTTGACTTGATAAACATCCATCTGTGCCTAATGTAATCAGCCACAGCTGATTCTCGAGCATGAGTGACACTAAATTAAGTGGAACCATGCTGGGCCTTAATTTTAGAGGCAAGAGTTACTGTGCAAATTCCTAGTCTTATATGCTACATTTAATCCAGAGAAACATAATTCCTGGTCTTTTATGCTACATTTATTTCAGAGAACGATGCAACAGCGTGATGCAACATTTGCCACACAACTGAAGTGACCAGTCATCTCTTGATAAAGTCCTTATTTGATCAGACAAAAAACTTGCATCTTAATCTAAGTGTCTGCATATAAATTGAAATTTCAAACAGTAAAATTGTGCAAATATTAGCCAAAAGTGAGATGAACATGGGTAATTTTGAAGCAAATATTCATCGCAAACCAGATTAGTATGTAAGAGAAATGTTAAGTCCAGGATCACTAAGCAGGTAAGAGAAACCCCAAAGTGGAGCTGTAGTGGGGATTTGAAAATTTGGCTTGAATTGACTGTATACACTTAAATTCTGATAACTCATGCTATGCTTTGTACAGTTTGCAGTTATAGTTTTACAGTTTTTAATCATACAAATGGCCTACATTTACCCATTCAAACACTAAATAATTGAGAATTACATTAAATGTGCTTAAAAGCCTCTGGTTTTGGTTCTAGAACACGGTGTAGGACAAATCTCAGTCATAAATAGTCGACATGAGTTCCAGCCATTTAGCTACAATAAAACCTCTGCGTATAATGTTGATCGTATTTTATTGATGAATGAAAGGTGTTCGCGAAACTGTGAAAAGCAAAAAAAAAAAAACAATCACTGAAGCAACTAAGATGAAAAGACTCAAAGACATCATGGTTGAGACTGCACTCCGGCACAGTGGTTTTTTTCCAAACACATCTTTATTTATGTCAGTACAGTAAAAGCCTCAGGGAACTGAGGGAGGCCATGATGATTCTGCCCGACAACTTCGTTTCTTCTGCATCTTCTGCCATTGTTGGCAAAAACGGCTTGTCTCTGTACACCTCAGGACCTTACCTCAAAATTGTAAAGATTACTTTTTCTCTACACTGCTGTTTGTCCATTAAAGACGATAATTAAGTTTAACTACCTGTTAGGGTACATTTAATTACATGTACAAAATAAGATCAAAACTACCAGCTTTGCATAACAATATAGCTTGATCATCAGTAGAACTTAAATTCGGAAGTAAAAAAATATCACATATCAACGCCATTGTTGGCAAAAACGGCTCGTCTCTGTACACCTCAGGACCTTACCTCAAAATTGTAAAGATTACTTTTTCTCTACACTGCTGTTTGTCCATTAAAGACGATAATTAAGTTTAACTACCTGTTAGGGTACATTTAATTACATGTACAAAATAAGATCAAAACTACCAGCTTTGCATAACAATATAGCTTGATCATCAGTAGAACTTAACTTCGAAAGTAAAAAAATATTACATATCAAACTTAGTTAAATGTTGATCCAAAAAACCATTGAGTTCTTTCCCAAACATATGCGCGAGATACATGCACACAAATTCCAACTAAAGGAAAGAACGTTAACCTTTCAATTTGATTTTTTATAGAACTAGACACAAAAACTATAGAAATTAAAGAAGAATTATTGAAATGAAATAGAATAACCACCTCTTGTTTTGTCTGCCTTCAGATCCATCTCATTCCCCCAGCATTCCTTGCCAGATATTCTTTCCATTTCTCTGCTCCAGTGCTCCTTGACTTCTTGTTGGAAAAGAGCACATCTTGCTCAAGAGTTTTTGGCGATCTGATTCCATGCCCCTGATTACTTGAATAAATTTGCACTTCTCTACTGTGATCTTGCAAAGGTGTTCAACACCATCCCCTTCGTGTCACTGTCCACAGCAATCTTTGTCTTGCTGATAACCCAACTGCACTTGGACGTCTTTACCTGCTCACTGTGACATGCACTAAACACCTGAGCAAAGACACACTTCAGTAATGCGGAGGCAAGAAGGGTCTTTTAGGGGGATAAAAGGGGCCCCTGAATCTGGGAGGTCCACCAAACGGTGGGCCAGGTCGCTTGCCCCTTGGAAAGGGTGGCTCATGACAGACCGGTGGTGGCCTACGAAGGGGCCTAGGAGCTGGATAGTGCCCAGGGTGAGGTGGACGAACATGGTGTGGTGGTGGATGCCTGTGTTCCAAGTGAGGAGGAACCCTGTGCTCTGGGTAGTGAGGTGGGATTTCTTCAGTATAATGCTCTTGTGCATGAGGTGAAATCGGGTGCATGTCGTAATGAGGGGGAGAGGGGCTACGTGGTGGTTGTTCATAGTATGGGTCAAAGTATGGATCTTCAGGTAAAGGTCGAGGAGGACTTGAGGCTTCATGGTAACCCCTTACTGAAGGAGGAGACCCAATGTGGTGATGGGGTACACTTGGAGGGCGCTGCAGAGGTACTCTTGGTGGATGTCGGTGGTTGTAGTCCACTGGACCATTCGGTGGGATTTTAGGAGCAAGGTGCGGTGCATGAGCAGAGTGAGAGGCCCCATCCCCATGTGGATGGAAAGGCTCCTTGTTTGGAACCTCATGAGACAAGTGTTCATAATCAGAGTTTGCTGGGGCATGCGATCCATCAACACCACCTCTTTCTGCTTCCCCGAAAGGTTCCTGCAAATCTCTGGTGGGACGAGGACCACTTGCTCTCGAAGATGCTGGATGCATGAAGTCTTGTGGTGGAGGAGGAAGCTTTGGGATCGGTGGCAGAGGTGCTGTGAAGAAGTTAGGTGCAGCAAGATCCTGTCTTGGTTCTTTGGCAAGGTATGGCTCTGCACCGTATGCATCAGAGCTGGCCGATACTTGCTTCTCTTGATCATCTCGATATGCATAGCTACCTTCCACCATTTCAGAATTTGGTCCCACATCACGAATTAAGGGGTTTTGTCTCGGCTCTTGAAGCATCACACCTGATCTCTCGGTGGCTTCTACACGGTCTCTCAAAGGTTGCTGGTTGCTGGACAAAGAAGAGGAACGCATTGCTTCGATGCGTTGATGCCGCATAGCTTCTGCCTCAGCAAGAGAGGGCACAGACTTTTGGAAGTCTTTTTTTGGTGCAGTCTTCTGGTGCATGTCCATATGAGCTTGTGGATTGGCCTGAGCATTTTGTTCCTGCCAAGATGGAAGTGGACGTGTTGATTTAGCATCCAAAGCTGTAGAAATAGACATAATTTGTCCCTGCTGATACGGGAACAGCTCTGATTGAGGAACATCCATAATTTCATCTTGCGTTGGTGTAGAACCAGCTTCATCCCTTACAGGGGTTCCACCAAGGTTTTCTGCACTTGCTGAAGGGCTATCAACAGCTCCTTTAGGCCATGTCAGAACAGATGGAAAGCCCAAATTAAAGCCTTTCAGTCCTGGGTGACCTTGGAGGAAGTTATCAATCTTGGAGTCCAAGTTAGAGTTGAGAGAAGAGCCCTTCTCATTCGCCATATTGGACTGCATGGGCGTAGGAGCCACACATCCTTGAGAGGTGGGATCCCTAGCCAGTGGGAGACTAGATGGAGTAGGTAAGACTTTAGGAGATGTATGAGTCTCTGCTGTAATAGGTGTGGTTAGGGATTGCTTTTCAGAATTTGAAATTGTGGTGGTCTTTGCAGCCGGGTTGTTTAGCAAAGAGGACAGACCTGTGGGAAAAAAATTATAGAAAGAGAAAGATAGGGGTAGGGACGCATGGGTCAGCAGATTGATTTAAATACACAACACATTTTCTGAAGAACTCATACTAAGGGCCAGACTACTAACAGCTTGTACCAGCACAAACCCTCTTTTGGCATTAAAAACTACTGCCAGAATTTACTAAAGGAATTATTGATGAAAAGGCAAGGCTGACTTTATTGCATATGCAGTTGTAAAAGCTTCCATTTCAGACACAAAATTTATGGGAGGATAATATTTAAATTAATTGACCAATGTGATTTACCAAGGTTTTCAGTTTACTGGTATTTGTACCATTATTTAACAGCCAAAATACAGTAGATTACCCATACCTGATTATCATCAGCTTTGCTTGTTTGCGACCCTACACTAATTTATGCTGCTCTTGGTAAATTTAATTGCCGCTTTTATGGGATTGCATTCTCACACTAATTTTCCCTGTTTAGTAAATCTGGCCCCAAGTCTTTTCTAATATCATCTGCTGTTGCTTCCACAACTAGGCAAAATATGTATAATGTTTTAGGTCAACATGAAATTACATTCTCAACTCATTTAACTTACATATTGTGATGCATTTTCGAGTGAAACATTATATTTAACAAGTAGGGTGGACTGCATCCATCAGGAATTGTGGGCAAGAGAACCAGAATGAAGACACACCTGAATGGCGAGTTTGATTGCACATTTGACTGTGGAGGACTATTATACTCCTAAATCAATGCCTGCCTGGCACCAACTTTTGAGCTTTAAAAAACCCACATTACCTAAAACAAAAGCTTCAAACATCATTTGTTTATTTGTCATTTAAATCTTATTAAAGGCACAATATGTAAGATTTTTTTTAATTAAAATATCCAAAAACTACTAGTCCCATGATTCCACACTCAGTCACGGCGTCATCAAACTACGCCTTTGTTTCTTTGTTTATTTTGAATACGCACCCTCTAGCAGCGAAAAATTACATATTGTGCCTTTAAGCTTTTTGGCTTTTGGGTAACATTAATGACCTAGGTGATATCGTCAGTGAAGGAAGCTGTTTCAAAGGTGGAGCAAGTTATTACATTTTGATGAAGGATTACATCAAACTTTTTCTTCTGAATAACATACACTGATGAAATCACACACAGTGAGACTGCAAACGTATTAAAACAAAAATAGGGTTAATTCTGATTTCATGTTGACTTAAAACATCTTGAACTACTGTGTTCACAAATTTCATATCCCAACTCAAATAATTTTTCTTTTCCATTTCTCACCCTGAAAACCCCCATGGGTTTGTGTTTTGGATAGAACACTGAGCAGAGTGTTGGGGTTGATGTCCACCCTAGAAAGGATGCTGGCCAGTGGGTTGGCTGGAGGGGTAGTAGTGGGAGTGGGAGTCTTTTGAGTTGAGCTTGGAGTAGAAGGTACACTTGGGGAAGACCGAGATACAGGACTAACTCCAACAGCTGCAAAGGCAAAAGCAATGTTTGAATGCATGATGTAACGTACAAATACAAATTTTTAACATTTCACTTTTCATACTATCAAGCAGTTCTCCAAATACAATTTCCAAAATTATTTTACTTTTAATTTTTTCTACTTTTTAATTAACAAATAGTGGAGCTGTAGACAAGAAAATTAGTAGGGGAATAGGAGCAGACACAACACAGGCCACATTCAAACATGCATCGCTCAAATAAGCACCACAGCTTACCACTAGGCCAAGGCATTGACCAGTATGCATATTTAATAAAGATAATTTAACCTGTGCATGGCATGCTGTACAAATCAAATTTCAGCATCTCACCTGAGTTCTTCATAACATTTGTGATTGTGCTGAGGATGGAGCTGATCTTGCCTAGGTCAACACCAGCAAGGTTCACTGGCAGTGATGGTGTGGTTGGTGTGGTGGTGGTTGTTGTTGTTGTTACTGCTGAGGGAACGGTCACTGCTGGGGTTGCGATCTGCTTTGTTTGTGTGCCTTCATTTGTTGGTAAGGATTCTGTGACAGTGGACTGTTTGGACACAACAGCAGAGGCCACATGTTCCTGAACTGTAAGGAGAAAACAAAATGAAGGAAATAATAAAAAGAGAAAACACTGCATCCTAACAGCTTAACAATAGTTTCTATTAAATGAGAAACATACCGAATATCAAAAAACTTAGTAAAGGTCATATGGTACCTATGATGGCAGGTGTTTCCATCTCCTCTACATCCGAGAGGTCCATGTCCTCTACGTCACGATTGTCTTTGTCTCCCAAAGGGGCACTTGGTGGTGAGGAACCCCCGACAGATGAGAGAGGGCTGGGAGCATCAGCCAAAGCAATGAGGTCCTCCTCCATTGCTTGCCCATCCAGCTCTGGGTCTGGGGTACCAATCCTTTCAAGAGCATTGAAGGGTGACTCAGAGCCCGTGGGTGAGGGAGCATCTTCAACCGGGGAGGGAATGGGGGAGTCATCTGGATCAGGCAACATATTCTTCAGTGCATCAAGCTTGCGCTTAAGGTGCGACACCCGGTTTGCAAATGTCTGGTAGGCCTGGAGAGGCAGGATTTAGAGAGTTCCACTTTTAGTTCCAATAAAATAGTCATAGTTCCAAAATTGGCATATTAACAAATGCTTTGTTTTTGGGGTTGAACCATACGAACATACATTACAGATCAAAAGTTTGCAGTCAGTAAGATTTTTTCATTTTATTCTTTATATATATATATATATATTTAGGACATAAGTTTTACGTATACTTACGTATAGTCTGTTATCTTTTTTTTTAAAACCTTCAACCTTACAAAACCAATGAAAAGGCTAATATTTTTATGAAATGGCCAAATATGGCTGTCACAGATAGACTAAATAAAACAAGGACATTTTGCTAAACAATGGTCTGGATGTCTTTATTTTTGTACAAATTCAATTGTGGCACAATGCAGCTGAAACCACTAAAAGCATTAAATGAGCAATTGGTCATTACTTCTGAAAGGACTTTCAAATATAAATGTATATGTGCATTGAAATAATGAGTCTGCTGGAAGGCCTGAGGCTGCTGTGAGTGAGGAGAGATTAAGAGCTCTTGTTGAAGCAAACGGAAATAATTCGATTTCATAAAGTGCTTTTTGGAAATATAAATAAAACAACATTTTACTTATTTTATACTCAGCCATTTCATTTGAAATGACCGGATGGTTCTTTATCTTTACATTCATTTTAGTCTCCCAGTGTGGAGAATTCATGAATTTAATCATATTGCTGCATCAAATACTGCAAATCACACTGTAAATTTGTACAGGATTGTAGCTAATGTATGTTTATAATATCATTTCAAATTACACCAAAAATAGCATCACATTAAACTGCAATACTCACTTTAGCCACAATCTTGACCTCTTTATATTGCATCTCATAAAATATATCTGCATTTTCCAGAGCTTCTATCAATGGAGAGCCTTTTTTGACCTCTCCATCCAGAAAGGAAACAAACTCCTGAAGCTTTGCACTCCCATCTTCAAAGTCTTTAGAAAACCTTTTACCTCCTGCCTTGTCTAAAGTATGGGATGCAGAAAGAACAAACACACAAAAATTAGAAAAATATTGATTTATTGATGAATGCATATCCGTTTAGAATCATAAAAGGCCACTGTTTACTGACCTTTCAGTTTCTTCAGAGCCTCTGTGCTGCACACATCCACTCTCATTGCAGCTAACTGTTTCTCTTTGAGCTCAATCTCATCCATGGACTTCCTGTACTTGGACAGATGCTCAATAAATGCTGAGGGCTGACAGGCAAAAAAACAAAAATTAGGTAAGAAGTTGTATAAATGAAAAGTATAGCCATTTTCAAATTCCCCAAACCAAGGGGTCCAAAGATCCATTCAATTCCAGTGTGAATAATGATTATTTACCACAAACTCAGCAACAATCTTGGATTTCAGGGCAGATTTGGAGCTGACTGGAGCTGAAACTAAAAGTAAGGAATATTTAAAAAGAAAAATCATTACTTTATTATAAGAATTTCAAAAATATGTTCAAGTTTTTATACATTAAGACTTTTAATGTTAAACTTAAAAACACACTGACAAGCATATAAAATACTCTCAAGAGCAACATTAAGATGATACATCCTTAGTTATTAATTCAGACCTTTCACTGGTTCTTCTTTCTGAACCAAACCATTCCTCAGCTGACTGATGAACTCCTCTGAATAGACACTTCTCTCCTCCCAAATGGACAGTATCCTCACCACTGCCTTGTTCACCTTAGAATCCTTTGTGGCACTACAGGAAATCATATTTACAAAGATTCATAATGTAAATTCATTTTAGAAAATAATTTGCACACAATGTCACATTAATGCATACTTAGTTAGAAGCACTCATTACTAGTGCATTGAATGCAGCATCACCCGAAAGCAGTTTTTTGTCACTGATGCCTTTGTAGAAACATACTTTCTTACATTTTACATCTACACTCAACCATGATTTATTTATTTAAAAAACTAAAATATAGGCGAACACTGGATATAATTCATAACTTAAATAGTTTGATTTGTCTGTCAATTATTCAATAATTAAACTAAATTGTCAAAATCCAAAAATGTCCCAAAAACAAAACTTATTAAAAAAAAAAAAAAAGGATTTAGTATTATGACACATAAATGACACTGTTGTGGTCTATAGGCAGAGAAGATATTTCCTGATCTTGAGAACAATCTGGTTAGGTTCATTGATGAAAGCAGACTCACCTGATGAGCTTCATAGCTTCTGGCAGCACATCAGTAAAGGTGGTGCGGTAGACTATGGCATTTTTCCTTTTACAGTTCTGAATGACATCATTCACCAGGTAGAAGAGATTAAGCCTGTGTGGCGCATCCGCTGGGAAAAGAATAAGGAAAAGTTTAACTTCATCATAAAACAATCCGTTTAATGGCCCACTTACAATGGAATGACCTTTGTCTAATATTAGAGCCCGACTGATATATCGTTTAGCCGATATTATCGGCCGATATGAGCCTGTCGCCAATATATCGGTATCTGCGAATATGCCGCCGATATGAAATTTTTTTTTACAGAACATATAACGCAGATTAAATGCTTCTGAATGGTGTAAACTTAGTTTGTCCAGCAGAGCTACTGGCGACCCAGGTCAGTGTAGTGTAGAGATGAGCTCAAACTTCACCGCCTGCCACCCACCCGCACCTATATTTTGTCATCACTAGTGTTGTCGAAAGACCCGGTACTTATGTACCAAGTTGGTACTCAAAAAATGAAAACTTTATGGTACCAGGTTTTTTTAAGTACCGGTGGTACCGAGTACCGGTCCTTGATGCGCTATCTGAAAGGTGCGCAGATGCGCTCTCTCTTCATAAAAGCACTGAGACGTGGCGACATCAAAACGAGGAAACACACCAAACTAACAAAACACTTTAAAGACACCCAGATCAAATGAAAGAGTTCAAGCAGGTAAGTTTCATTTTAATTTTGAATATTTAGATCAGTCTTTCCCATACATTGATTTATTTGTGGTGGCCCGCCACAATATCAAAACTGACCGCCACAAATAGATTTTCCAAAAGGCTTTGACTTCGTTGAATAAACATGAGCACTGCACGTGTCAAAGTCGAAA